GTGGCGTGGACAGCGCGCAGTGCGGCTCGCTGGCGCCATGGAGGAAGGCGTCATGGGCACGGTGACAGGCGCCGCGCCTCCCTCGTGGCGGCGAGGTCCTTGACGAGGGCCGGCGTCGCGGCACGCGCCGCAATCCGCCGCCTTCGTCGCCAACTTCGTCGCCGCCACATCCGCCACCATCACCGCCGCCAACCACCCCCCTGCCAGGTCTGTGGAGCGGCGCCGGCATCGACGCCCGTCGCCGGTCACCCTGGCCAAGCGGGGCGACTGGATCTGGCGCCTACCCGTCGCCGGAGCTGCGGACCTCTGCCCCACCACCTTTGCATGGGCGCCTCCCGTGCCGCTGTCGCGGCCGCCGCCTCCATGCACTCTGCCGCCTCCACGCGGCCCACGCGCTACGCGCCACGCCGCCGCCGACCCGCGCGTCCTAGCCTAGATCCGGCCAAGGGGCCGGATCCAAACCCAACGGCGCCAGATTTGGCCGTCGTCGCCGGGGCCGCGCTCTCGCTCTCTGGTGTCGTCAGCGCCCCAACCGGCTAACCGGGAGTGAGGGAGAAGGGAGCCCCGCCGCCGCCGTCTTCGCAGCCGCCTGGCTTTGCCAGCGGCTGCTCGGGCGGCGGCGAGGTGGGGGAGAGGAGGAGAGTGAGGAGGTGACGGCGAGGTTTCGCCGCCCGCGTCGCCTGGAGCGGGGCGACCGGGCGTTCCGTTACGTCCCAGCTTTCATGTCATATGGTAGTAGATTTTTTTTTCACATATAAAGTATACTTCTTATATCTTGTCATGTCGTTATCGTTCAACAAATTTTTGTAATAATTGGTTATAGCTCGTTAAGTAAAGGATAGGATTTTATTTCATTATCTAAAAAAATCTAAAGTTAGGTCATTATACAGCTGATAAAACTAATACAATGCCTTAATTATCTTTGTAATATTATGTACTGTTAGATGGTATCTTATGTTCATTTTTTTCTCGTCCAACCTATTGTATATTGGTTGTCTTTTCACAAAAAGATGGCTCATTCGATCTCTCTAGTTACTATATATATTCGCTACAGTACAGATCGGATATTTTAGGAGTTCAATTTACGGGGTGTTTGGATGAGGCTAAAAGTTGTTGGTCCCTGTCACATTGGATGTTTGGACACTAATTAGAAATATTAAACGTAGGCTAATAACAAAACCCATTCCATAACCCTGGACTAATTCGCGAGACGAATCTATTGAGCCTAATTAATCCATGATTAGCCTATATGATACTACAGTAAACATTCTCTAATTATGGATTAACTAGGCTTAAAATTTTTTCTCTCGAATTAGCTCTGATTTATGTAGTTAGTTTTGTGAGTAGTCTATGTTTAATACTCTAAATTAGTGTCCAAACATCCGATGTGACAAGTACTTTAGTCCCTGGTTCCAAACACCACCTTAGACATTGACAAGCTGATGTGCGTGGAGCTTAATTTGTACATTGTCTTTTTCTCATATTGCTACAAGTACTTATACTATACTATAGTGTAGCCACAGCTTGATTATATTATACCATAGTTACATTTTAAAGTTTTTCATTCAAAATATTCCTTTGATAGTTTTTGGATGTATTGTGTTCCATTTCCAGAATGGTAAAATAATAAGTTGTGTGCGCGATCTTGACCAAGAGACTAATCGACGACATATGTACTCTCTAACTACGGATCATGAATTCATATTTTGATTACACAGCAACTAGTGTTTCGCTGCAGTGAACATGAGATTTTCTTTATTACACATCAAAAGAACTATGGCAATGCATTAGATCCATTCATTTAGTCAGGATTTGGGCAGCAAGGGATCAAGCTAGAGTTAATTAAAGAGACAAGTACTCTCTGGTGAGAGCGATTCTATTACATCTGAAAAATGTTTGCCTTTTCATCCTGCACAAAAAGTCCACATCAAGTTCGTCATAAGTTGAGAATATGGCATACTGATAAAAAAAATGCCAAATGAACGCAAACAATTTACTCATGTCAAGTCGTTAACAGACTACTTACTGAGATTGTGCATTCTGGTAGTAGATGCATTCCTGATGCCTATCAATTCTAGCTAGCTCCTACGTAATTGAACGGTTGCATCATCTAGCTTCATGTGGTTTGGCATTGACAAATGTACATATTATTGTTAAATATGTGATCCAAATTTTAGGCCTACAATATATTCGGATTATTTTTTATTAGGACTTCATATTATACGATTAGTTTTCTATTAGAACCTTGTGTCTTTGTCTATTAGGACTTCTATATTTCTCCTATATATATCTCTTGTAAGCTGCACGGAGATTGGAGAGTGCGATAGCCTATTGTATCCTCTGCGTTTCTACTCAACTCCTCTATATTGATCATTGTCGGTCGACGCTCGTGATTTTTTTTTCTATAAGGGTTTTTCACGTAAAATTTATGTCTCCGTTGTGCATCTATCTTCGTAACAATTGTAACCTACAAAGGACAATGAGTTAATGATATTAGAGTTGGTGATCAAGCAAGTGAACTAGTTGCAAGTTGTGTTTCTCATTGACTAGCTTTGCTTTTATAATGATCATATATAGAGACCTGCGGTAACATGGCCATCATGCACGCTTTCATTAATTGAACCCTTCCTACCGTAGCCATATTAATCGTCAACCGATACATTGCGTAGGTTATTATTATTGTTTATTATCGATATATAAAAAAGTTAGGGAGATATGGACTTATTCCCTAATCATCATTTTACATAGTAAGCATCTAATCATTTGCCATTCACCGTTATGAGCTGTTGCACAATATGGGTACAAAGAGAAGACTGTTTGGGCAAAGAGTACACATGCATAAACACACGAGTATAGAATGCAAGCCTCTCCTTGAGCATGTAACTAATTTCCTCTACTAATCCAGACAGAAAACATAAAGACTGCAAGATGGAAACAATCGAATTAGATTATATGTAGTTGACTTGATTCGCTTGAGGGATAAAAACGGCTGTGAAACGGACTGAAACTATACTTATTGTATATTCGTGTTCATTTTCTTGGAATTGTATTCGGAAACAAGAAACCTCGTAAAAAAACGAAATCGAATATTATCAAATATACATGCAAGGATGCGCATCAAAATTCTTTTGTTCAAAGTGCTCTCCTGATACCTCTCAATCCAATCTATCCTATATTCCTGCTTGACATGGATATTAGAGAAATGAATTATAACTGTTCCTGGGGATGAGTTGTGTTTTGTGTGTTGTTGGATATGTATATATCATATATGCCATCACTACAGGGAAAATGAGTTTTACTCACCAAGAGACCACATGTTGGTCATGGCTACAATTCGGTTTTTCTATAGCAACTTTCGATTTTCTGGCTATCCGATGCACGTTAGACAGGAAAAATAAAATTGCAGGCACACCACGGGTGCGAGGGATCGAACTCAAAACCCTAGCTTCGTAGGGTGAGCACCCCCCTTACCAACAAAGAGGCCTCAGCGCGGGTTGGGCCATCTCGCCTCCGACCATGGCCACCACCACGACGATGCTACCGCCCTTCTTTTCGGCGTCGTCCGCCGAGCAGCCTTGGATTCCCACCGTATGCCGAGTCGCCACCCATTCTGCTGCACTCCAGCAGGCTCTCGGCCTGCACGAAATGTAGCGGGACAACGACGCACTCCGGCCACTGAACTCGTTGGCGCAAGAGCTTGACCAACATCCATTCTGATTGTGCGTGGATCCATATCTCCCATTCTCTGTTGAAAGTGCTCTCCTGATACCTCTCAATCCTATTGATCCTACATTCCTGCTTTGGCATGCGTATTCGAGAGACGATTTAATTTATACTTGTTCCTGGGGTTGAGGTTGTGTTTGTGTGTTCTTGGAGATGTATGCGCCACTGTATATATGGTAGCAGCTGATCGAATTCTACTCCAGTAGCGTGTCAATGTGTCATAGCGTGTGTGTATGTATTAATTGGACAAACCTACCTTTCATGCAACAGTTAAGACCTGAATTAACGCCACTAGAAATGTGCAATATATTGGGCCAGGGCTGGTGATACATTTTGGTCACAAAATAATCCTTCCTTTTTGCACGGAAAGCTCGTCATCAATCTCATCGTCTCTCCCTTGTTTGTTCTAAACTTCTATACGATTGAATTTGGCATCCACTAGAAACTGCTAAAAATTCCTTTCTATATATGCTCTCCTGTACGTTTTCATCACTTATTACGTTTTGTTGTTTTGTTTCTCTAACATACATTTTCATCCGTATGAGCTAGAATGTGTAGAGTGACAAGTATGGGTCACCTGTAAGCCACGCCTCATAAACCCTTTTATTCAGGAGACATTGTATATATAGTAGCCCAAAATATTATGAGGGAGCATAAGGAGGAGACATATGGGAAGGAGGTCTGCCATCTACATCCCCCACCAAACCTTCTCGCCTACCGCACGGCGCGCGCATGATGGTTCTATGCCACACAGACCATAGAGGACAAGGCTAATGCGCAGAATCGATAAAGGGCCTTCTCGTCGTCAGTGCGCGAGGAGGTAATGTTTACTTATAGTAGCACGCTGCACATTGAAGGCAATAGAGAGGGTGAAGAATCAAGGATAGACACGAAGGGGAAGGATGTGTGAAGAGAGAGATATCATATTGAGGGAGGACGGGGTCTCGTCATTCGCCATTTTGTCAGCTCAGAGACGTTACATGCGAACCGCGCTGGCCACCGCTAAAACTCTCTATAGGGATAAAAATAAACTCGGATATACATTGATGAGCCATTAGGAGTTTTAAAATATTGACGGCTATGGTTTCGAACATAAATAAATAAATAAATAAATATATATATATATATATATATATATATATATATATATATATATATATATATATATATATATATATATATATATATATATATATAGCAGACTATCTCATATTGAAATGATATAGATCAATTCTTATAGAACAAGAGACAAACAAAAGTAAAAATATACTAGTAGTAATTATCACACTAACAAAATATATAGTTGCTACGGAATCACTCAGAATTTACATCACACTAGCAGGTTGTGGTGGTAGAACTTAGAATTATTATTATTCCCACAGCAATATGCCAATTTTATTTCCCGTTCACTCATTTTCTATAGTGGGCCTGGGCTCCATTGCCGGCCCATTGACTGCGCGTCGATCCCCATTCCCCACATGGCGCCGCCGCCGTCGGGGAGCCTCGCCGCGGCGGCGAGGTGAGCTGCTGCGCCCGCACCTCCTGCCTCACGCCCCGGCGACGCGGCGTACTTCGCCGCCGGCGGCAAGCACCTCGCGCGTTCGATCTGGCCGTGCTCGCCGCGCTACGGCGTGTTCTTCTTGGTCGCCGACTTGCCGCCGGTGGAAGCAATTGAATTGTATGACGGCGCCTCCTCGATCGACCATGGGGGTGAGGTGGTTAGGCGATCATCATCAGCCTAATTAAGTTCGTTGCAACTTTTGATTCATACATGTATGTTTTGGTTAAAATTTAGTTAGTCACTAGTTTAATTCTGTTTGTGAATTTCAGTTACAAAGGTATAAGCATCATTAGCATATGACAATATGATATTAGGAGGCCATGAATCTCAGTTCCATGCACTTTTCATTAATTATATATGATTTGTTTCAATTGTCAATCATTAGACAGTTGTTTCAGATAGGATATAATCAAGATTATATATATGTTTTGTTTCAATTATCAATGACTAATGCAATGTTACAGAAGCTTATAATAATCATAAGCACACGTAGTAAATTACGGTCAGAACTGTAGGTAAGTTTGGCGTGTTATCATCTTTTGTGTACACTCCCTGCATGATCGTAGAACTTCATGGATACTAACTAGCTCATCTTGAAGAATAGGAAACAGATAAAATGCTCTCTGCATCCTTTCTTTTGGAATCCACCATCATAGACGTTGGTTTCGACCTGTGGATCTGCACTCATCGACAGGCCTATGTGATCGCGTCCTATGTCTTTTTTTTTTCTGCCACTGAAACAGGGAAAGTTTTATAGCGTCTCTATTCATATACATACTTCATTTATTGGAGTGGAACTGACAACTGAAGGGTAACAACAACAAGCACAATACGGGGCTGTTCAGATTGATGTCAAAATGAACCTTACCAAAATTTGACAACGCCAAAATTTTAGCAAATTGATAATATTACCAAAATTTTGGTAGAATTGGCTTAATAATGTTGCCAAAATTCTATTCACATTGCCAATATTTGGTAAGAAACTAAATGTAGTCACATAATTATTAATTTTATCAAATAATAATATAGTTGAAAATATCATCAATCTGAACAGACCCTACATCTCCATTTTTTATCTGTTTTTTCCCCACTGCTATTTGTTGATTTGCAACTCTGCAATGGACTTGTACTCACTTGAGCATCAATTAGTTTTTATTCCTCTTTTAATTTTATTACCCGTGGGCCTCGGCCCATTAACGGCCCAATTTGGACTCTGCTGCGTATACCCGATCTGGTGGGCACACAACTCATCGATTCCCCAAAATGGCGCTGCCGGTGCCGGACGACGCCCTCGCCGCCATCCTCCGCCGCCTGCCGCCGCGCAGCCTCGCCGCGGCGCGCTGCGTCTGCAAGCAATGGCGCGACCTCGTCGACGACCGCGCGCTGCTGTTGCCGCACTCGGCGCACGGCGTTGTCATCTCCTACGTCGACCACCACCGCCCGCACCTCTTCTCCCGCCCCTCCTCCTCATCCTCCTCGTCGGCGGCGGCGGCGAGCGACGGACCAAGCCTCTGCCTGCCCCGCGCCGCCGTCAGAAACTGGCAGTGGCACGTGATAGACCACTGCGGCGGCCTCCTCCTCCTCTCGGCAACTGGGGCGGCGAGCTCCGCGTCTGCAACCCGGCGACGCGGCGGCGCGCCACGCTGCCGCCGCCGCCGCAGCGCGCGTGCAGGGACGACGTCACCGCCATCCCCGTCGGCGAGTACCTCGTGTTCGAGCCGGCCGTGTCGTCGCCGTCGCCGCACTACGAGGTGTTCTTGATCCCCACCGTGCCGGGGCACCCCGGGCCACCACCAACACCACCGGCGCACATCAGGTTGAAGCCAATGGCGGCGGCGGCGGCGCCGTTCTGCCTGGACGAGCGGCTAGCGTCGCTCCGCGGAGCCTCCTACCCCACCGTGGAGGAGATGATGGAGGACATGGCTGAGGCAACGGTGGATTCGCCGCCGCCATCGCCGTATGAGTGGGACCAACAATTATTTTGCTTGATGTGTTGGCAAGTTGAGTACCAATATTTGTCGGCGGAATGGCCGCCGCCGTCGTACAAGATCGACGCGTTCTCGTCGAGGACCGGGCGGTGGGAGGAGAGGGTGTTCGTCAGGGAAGGCGAGACGGCGACGACATTGGAGGACATGAAGCCTTGGAACTATGTCTATGCAGGTCCATGGCAAGGGTGCAGTGTGTTATGGCAGGGAGCACTGTATGTGCATTCTGGAGGGGCTTGTGTTACAAGGTAAAAAAAAAAAAACATCACCACTCTATATATGTTTTGCCATGAATTTTATCGATTCATTGCAATTTTGATTGATAGATATATCTTTTGCTTAAATTGTCAACAAATAGTTAATAAAAAGGGTTTTTTGTCTTTATAGCTGATGGATGAAACTGAGTTGACAATTATTCGAGGACACAAACGAATAAATTATATATAAAAAGTTGAGTACTTTAGTTGATATAAAAAAAATCTAAGTAATATTGATGAATAAAGTTTTTACAGAAAAACTAAATTTCCTTTTAGAAGGTTCGGAAAGTATGCCCGTGATAATAAATAATCCTTAAGCCAAAAACAACATATTGTTCATGAATTTCTGCAACTTAGGACCAATGCAGTGCTATGAAAGCTTGACAGTTATCAAGTGTAAATTCAGAAACATACCGTGCAAACAAGTCTGGTTCGTTGTCCCATCATTGTTTATGCTCTTTTTTTTAGATATGTTTATTCCCTGTTATTGTACATCATATGTACATCGAATATTTTAATTGATTATGCTCAATTACAAGCATGCAGTACATCAATTAATCTCCATGTAGTAAATTATTCATACGTTTGTATGTTTACTTTCTTTTCAGGTTTTCACTGTCAAACGATAAGTATCAAATGATCAGAGCACCAATAAACATTCTGGACAACAAATTTGACAAACCATATCTTGGCAAATCAAAGATGGGTGTGTCCTTTGGATTTATTCACGATTGGCAGCTATCAATTTGGATCCTGAAAGAATCGACCTATCAACATGACCTTCAGGCAATTGCCAACCAGTTAGATTCAATCGATTCTCATATTGACCAGATCAATGGACCTTGGATCGTAGAAGAGGATGACACTGATATTCCTTTAAACACAGAGACTCTCTCACAAAGATTTTGATTGGGATTCTGACAATGATGATTTTCTTGCTATTGAAGTTGGTGGGGAAAAAAATGAGGGACATAATTGTGCACCCTTTGGCATCCTTGGATTTCATCCTTACAAGGAAGTTATTTACTTGGAAGAAGAATTCAAAACGGTGGCGTATCATTTGAATAGCTCGAAGATTCATTATCTGGGCTACTCGCGCCCAAAGTGTTACGGCCAATACTCAACAAATGGTATAGAAGGCTCATTCGTGTACACTCCATACATGATTGGAGACCTTTAATGAAGACTACATTTGGATAGAGTTTATCTTAAATAACAGAACCATATATTTACAGGGCTTACAGTTGAACAGATCAAGAAACAATAATGGCGGGATCATGTCCGAAAACCTGGGTGTTCTTTGGTCTATGTTTATTATTCATGGAATTCCATATTCTTGAACCTTAGTATAATCTGACCGTTGTTTTGGCAACTGAGTTGCATGTACCACCCTGTATGATTTTATTCAGTTGAACCTGTTTTTTCAGTTTTCAACAAGAGCATTTTTTTCCCGTTGAGTTCATGCCTCTTACAGTTATAGTCCAAACTATTCTATTAGAGTAAAGTGCTTTCACCTTGTTCAGTTGTTTGGCTCATGACAACCCTCTCAACTGAAATCCAGACAGGTTAACTACAAGTCCCCCATGACTATACTGCAGATATATAGAAACTCAAGGTTGAACAGTGTGCATGCAAAAGCTACTCCTGGAAACTGAATTTACTTTAGTTTTGATCTGCCAGATCTGTTTTTTTATCTATGTGTAAAATATATTGAGAACAGACACTATCTGATCTGAATAATGTTGGCATGGCCTTCTGAACCTGCCATCATTTTCAGAGCTGAAGCTTGTGGAAATGGGGCATTTTCTGACCAATGGGAGTTGAGAAGAACTGGAGATCAAAGGATATGCGCCACTTACTAGAAGATGCCTGAGATTTATACTCATGAAGTTTGCTGGAATCTTGCATTGTTCTTTTGAGTTGCTTCAGTAATGTACTTTGAGTTCGAGCTTTACCGTTTCAGTTCTTGTGGATACCAACAAATATGAACGGCCCAAGTAACATATCTATGCCTTTCATGTTTCAAATGCTTCCTGTTTGTCTACTTTTCTACTTTATTTATGTCTTATTATAGAGTGACAAGAGCAGAAGAATTACGTAATAAAATTGTAAAAAAATACATCAAAAAGAGCGAACTACTGAATTCTGAATCTCTCTGCTTATTCTAGAACTCAAATATCTCTACAAGTTTTTATTTTCGTTCCTGATATGTACCTTCCGATTTTATCTTTAATTTCTTTTGAGAAGAGCAAATGTTTTGCGTTGTTTGAGGACTTATTCGGTTTGGTGGATTATTTTTTTAGAAAGGGTTTGGAGGAATTTGAACCCATAAAAATAGGAAATGTCAAGGAATATGAATGTTTGCACACAGCAATCTTCCCAAGAGCTTTGTGTGGATGGAAAATTTCATATATTTCACTATACAACTTTTAGGAAAAATTATTTTCCAAATAACACTTATATAACATAAAATATTTTTTAAGAATCCAATTCCTTACTTTTCCTCCTATAAACCGAACAAGGCCTCTCAGGAAAAGAACTTCTCTATCGTGGGCCTGGGCTTCCATTGCCGGCCCATTTCGCACCTGACGCTTTTTTCACCAAGAACACAACGAAACAAAGCCACTCCTGACGTCAGCGTTGACTCGGTCAAACCCATCGATCCCCCCCAGATTCCAATGGCGCTGCTGCTGCCGGACGACGCCGTCGCCGACGTCCTCCGCCGCCTCCCGCCGCGGGGCCTCGCCGCGGCGCGGTGCGTCTGCAAGCCGTGGCGCGACCTCGTCGACGTCCGCGCGCTGCTGCGCCCGCGCCTCCTGCCGCGCTCGGCGCACGGCGTCCTCATCAACTACATCGACCACGGCCGCCCGCACCTCTTCTCCCGCCCTTCCTCCTCCTCGCCGTCGTCGGCGGCGGCGATCGGCGGCGAGATCATCGACGGGAACCTCACGTTCTTGCCCAACGACGGGGACAGGGACTGGTGGTGCGTCCTGGACCACTGCGACGGCCTCCTCCTCTGCGGGATCGAGTGGGGGAGCCAGCTCTGCGCCTGCAACCCGGCGACGCGGCGGTGGGCGACGCTGCCCGCCGCGCGCCAGGGGCCCTCGCGCTACGCCGCCGCGTACCTGGCGTTCGATCCGGCCGCCTCCCCCGACTACGAGGTCCTCCTGATCCCCAATCTGCCGGAGAAACCCTCGCCGCCGGTACCCAATCAGCCGCGGCGGCGGCGGCGGCGGCGGCAGGATGAGCTCGCCGGCCCATTCTGCCTCCACATGCTGTTCTCGCCGCTGGACGCCGCTGATGAATCGGATCTGGACGGCGATGTCGATGTCGCTGTCGATGTCGATGTCGATGTCGATGACGATGAGGTAGCAACACCAGCAGCATCATCTGTGGATGATGATCAGTATAAGTTGATGGAATGGCCGCCATCGCCGTACTTGCTGGAGGTGTTCTCGTCGAGGTCCGGGCGATGGGAGGAGAGGGCGTTCGTCAGGGAAGGGGAGAAGGTGACCACCGTGGAAGACATGATGCCATTGGGATACCCTTACCGGGGCCCGCGCCGAGGGTACAGCGTGTATCACCATGGATCATTGTATGCACATTGTCGAGGCGCTTTTGTTACAAGGTGAGCATCATCACATTCCCTGCGAATTTGATTCACATAGCATGTTTTTGGTTAACTTGATGCCTCAGGTAGATAGTCAAATTTTCTGTTCATGAGTTTCAGTAGCTTTCCAATAGCTAGCGAATGTAAATTCAAAACTGTACATACTACAAGTTTGGTGTGTTGCTCGGGCCATTGTCGTCCTCTTCTCGGGTTAGGTTCACTTGAGTTAGGAAATCGAGGTTCAGTTTCCTCCGGTCCGAGAATTATGTGGGCGATGGTTGCTGGCTGTTGTCTATGGCATCACCATGGCAATGGACTTGAAGGTAGGCAGTATGCAGTAAACGTAAAAAAGTTGTTAGGGCCACCACTAAAGATGAGGAGATCAGACTGCAGTGTGATGGTGAATTCGCCAGAGATGATAGGAGATAGACTGATAGAGTGGTCGCTCTGCACCTGCAGCAATGCGAATGAGGTATTAGGGTGCCATCGAATTGCATGGGCTGAGTGAGAGGCATGAGGGGCGCAATGAGAGGGATTGTCTATTTGGGTTTCAGTTTGGTTGTGTTTTTTTTGGATGATCAAGCCTAGATGAGGGACGCACATTGAGATGGATTTTGGAGAAATGCAACAAGAAACTCCAAATAGATGGCTATAGACAAGCCTTTGGTTTAATGTTTTTCTAGGGATCTGACGCCCATATCATTATATTGTTTGCATGTTAAGAAGTAGATTTACATACAATTAATATGGACCACATAGTTGAGAAAATATCATGGTATTTTCTTGAGAAAATATCATGTGAACCAATTTATTAAATTAATTGTTGTCATCGCAAGCAGACATTGCATCAATTTGGTTGTACGATATCATATTAATTATTTATATCCGGCAAATTTACTGTTTTTCAGGTATTCACTGGCAAATGGCAAGTACCAAGTAATTGAAACACCAATAAACATGGCGAACTACAAATGGGAAAAACCATATCTAGGGAAGTCAGAGATGGGTGTGCTCTTCGGAATGATTCATGGCGGCCAGCTATCCGTTTGGATCCTCCAAGAATCAGCAGGACAGATGGGGTGGATCTTAACTTATCAACATGACCTTAGGCCCTTTGCCAAAGAAGTAAGCTCTCTCAGATACAATGGTAACCTGACTACTGGTTCTTGGACTGTAGAAGAAAATAGTACTGGTATGCATGGAAACAGAGATACTCTGTCTGCAGAGGATTTCGAGTGGGACTCTGACAATGATGATTTCCTCGCGGTTGAAGTTAGAAACGAGGAATATGATGATGACTGTGAACACTTTGACATTCTTGGATTTCATCCTTACAAGGAAGTTGTTTTCTTGGATCAGTCATTCAAAACAATCGCCTTTCATTTCAATAGCTCAAAGATTCAATACCTGGGTTACTCGCGCCCAAAGTGCTACTACCGGAACTACACAAATGGTATATATGAGTCGTTCGTGTACACTCCCTGCATGATTGGAGAGCTTCATGGAGTTATTGGGCAGAGCTCATCTTGAAGATTAGCACCGTATATGTACAACTCAGGCAGTTGGAAAACATATCAGGATATAATAATGGCAAACACTGGGTTGTTTTTTGGTTTATTATTATTTCCATATTTTCCAATCGTAAGGTCTTGCTTTCTTTCTGCTAATGGACCTGTGTTAATGTTCACCTGTCTATCAGATCATGACTTCCTTGTAGAGCTTTATATAAGAATGTTGGTAGGACTACTTAGGCCGTGTTTAGTTACTTGTCAAAAAAAAAATTTGACGTATACGAACATATATTTGAAGTACTAAATGTAGACTAATAACAAAACAAATTACAGATTCCGCTTGTAAACTGCGAGACAAATCTATTAAGCCTAATTAATCCATCATTAGCAAATGTTTACTGTAGCACCACATTGTCAAATCATGACGCAATTAGGCTTAAAAAATTCGTTTCGCAATTTACATGCAATCTATGCAATTGGTTTTTTTCGTTCACATTTAATGCTCCATGCATGTGTTCCAACCTTGGGGCAACTGCAAATTTACCACTGCTTTGAATCGTTATTGTAAAACTGCCACTAGAAAATTGCAAAAATGCCACTAGAATTATCATTTGAGTGGTATTCTTACAAAATTGAAAAAAAGGGAGATAAATTTGCAAATGCCCCTCAAACATTTGATGTGATGGATTTTTTGAAAGTTTGAAGGGAAATAAACACAGCCTACGACTACCAAATACCAGAGACAGCATATATGCTCCTTTCCTCTTTTGGTGTTCACTGTTTTTCTATTGTGGGTCCGGGCTCTATTCCCGGCCGATTTGCAATCTGTTACAAGCCGATCCGACACACATGTGAAGATACACCCAAACACCTACGAGATTAACTTGGTGTTTGGCATCATTTTAAGCTTGGGCACTAATGCTTCAATTTGGTGCGTTTTCTCCTGAAGGTTTCAGTTCAATGCCTGACGTAATCGTTTTGCAGAGTGTGAAACTAAGAACAGTGGAACAAGAGAACAGCAGCAGTTGTGAGTTCTGACCAATCTTAGATGAACCCTTATTAAGGTATAAATCTCTCTGCTTGTATTGATGTAATCAACTTCTCTAGCTCTCCACATTTTTCTTTTACTATAATAAAATATTATAATGTATCAGCAATGAATTGTCATCAAGGTTTTCTATATATTTCGCACGTATGAATTTTCTTATTTGAAGAGATCGATAATGTTTAAATGGTAATACTCCTATCTATGAACAAGAGAGAAGCGTTCAAACAAAAATTCCCCTGTTTCAGTTGCAGAAGAAAGATAAATACGTTATACATAAGCTTGTCGATGAGGAAGTGCAGATTCAGAGTGAAGGTGATCTTACAACCCCTGAAGTTACTGTAGAATGGTTCAGTTTAGCATAGTTTGACATGAAAGCCTTACTGACTGTGGATTATCATGAGACTAACAACTGAAAAAGGTGAAAGAACTTAGGTACAAACTCTGCATATAGGAACAAATTGGCATACAATTTAAAGAAGCAGGAACATCATAGATTTTAGCTGAAAATGTATGATCAGATTGACTGAAATTAAAATAAAGGCACACTGGGCGGTAGAGATAGAACTATGTAGAAAAATAGCAGAAACAAAGGACAGACTACTAAGGTTCGACGATAGGGAATTCCATGAAACCAAAGAACAACCCAGTGTGTTCAGACCTGATTAATTATCTCTCTCTCATGATATCTTCCTCAATTGCCTGAGTTGTACACATACGGTGCTATTCATTGAGGTGAGCTCTGCCCTGCAGCATAGTGTCCATTAAGCTCTCCAATCATGCCGGGAGTGTACACGAACGACTCATGTATTGTGTATCTTCCGTAGCAATATTTAGGGCATGAGTAGCCCAAGTATTGAATCTTTGAGCTATTCAAATGATAGGCAAATGTTCGTAATGTTTCTTCTAAGAAAATGACTTCCTTGTAAGGATGAAATCCAAGGATACGAAAGTATGCAAAATCGTTATGTCCCTCATCATCAACTTCAGTATCAATTAGAAAATCATCAACTTCAGTATCAAGAAAATCATCATTGTCGGAATCCCACTCTTTGTCTGAGAGAGTCTCCTTGTTTTCAATTGTTCTGTATTTTGGGATGGTCTCTTCTAAGACCCAAGGCCCATTAATCTGGTGACCACCAAAATCAAACGAATCTATTTGATTGATCGCTGCCCAAAGGTCATGTTGGTAACTTAAGACCCACTTAATTTGTCCAGCTGATTCTTTGAGGATCCAGACTGAGAGTTGATAATCATCAATAAATCCAAATGACACACCCATCTTAGATTTGCCTAAATGTGGTCTGACAAACATGTTGTTCCGAATGATTATTGGAGTTTTAATTATTTGGTACTTGTCACTTGACATTGAAAACCTGAAAAAAAAAGAGGAGTGAGTATTGCATATATAAATAATGCATATGATACATTACAACTTCAAAAATATTTATCTGGTCAACATAAGGCACATAATAATAAGTGTTTGAAAAAGGATTGTAACAAACCAAACTTATCTACAGATCTGAACATAATTACTGCTTATACCTACTGCTAATTCAGTTTCTTTACCATTGCATTAGTGTTAACTCAAACTTCATGAACAATACTTATTTTATTATACATGAACTAGGCTTTGTAGGTGTACTAGCTAGTCATTGACAATTTAGCCAACATGTATAATTAGCTGATAATAAGGTTGACAATTTAACCAAAGCATGTATTAATTGGCTCATTGGGATGGCAATGGGTCAGGTCGGGCACGGGTAGAGCAAAACCATGCCCGACCCAACGCCCGACGTCGCCCGCCCGAACCCTAGCTACCCAGTAGGGTTAGCGGGCACGGGTATGCGTGGCTGGCGGGTACCCAATGAATCTCACATGAATAATAACTCGAAAGAGGTTAATTTAACAAAGAGAAATAAAATCAATAATTTACTAAATTATTAGTTATTAACAATAATTTGAATTACATCACAACTTATTATCCGTTAGCATCACAAATGAACCAAGATAAAGGGGTATAAGCCTTAAGAGAGATGAGTCGAAATTAGCTAATACATATGTATCTGGTCGGATATCCGCGGATAGCTAGACCAATGGGCAAAATTGCCATCCCTATTGGCTGATAATGAGGTAAGCATAGATTGTTGGATACTTTTGATAAAAAAACACAAGGAAATTCTCGATTATTCAATGTCAGATTTAATCATGTCCGATGGTCATTGGGATTTTGTCTATCCTTCTATTCTTCAGAATAATTCGGATTAGTAAGCGAAGATATACGTTCGCCATGATATTATAGTATCATCAAGAACAAGAGGAAGAAATCAATATCCTATTTTGGGAATTCAATCAAAATACCCTTTATATATGTATGAATCATAGGCTGGTGATGCTTACTTGCCTTACTCCCTCCGTGTCATATTATAAGTTGTTGTCCAATCAAACTTCTTTCAATTTTGCCAAAATTTATATAAAAATATAGCAAAATTTTGGACACAAAACAAACATATATTAAATGCTGATTGTAATGAAACTAATTTGGTGTTATAACTGCTATTAAAGTATTTTATAAACTTGATCATACTTTAAAAAAAGAGTAAATTTCACAAAACTACACATTTTGTGGTCTAAGTTGAAGAAAACCACACACACTTTGACACTTGGCACTTGAGTACATATATTTTGGTAGTATAGTTTCACAAAACCACACTATCAATGAATGGATTCACCCACGAGATGACGTGGTTGTTTCACCTAGGACGAGGACATGGCATTCTATTACCAGCCATCACACGAAATTAATAGGATGCAACGTCATCATCCTAGATGGAACAACCACGTCATCTTACGGGTGAATCCATTCATCGATAGTGTGGTTTTGTGAAACTAAACTACCAAAATATATGTACTTAAGTGCCAAGTGTCAAAATATGTGTTGTTTTATGCAACTTGAACCATAAAACATGTAATTTTGTGAGATTTACTCTTAAAAAAATAGTTAGAAAAAAAAACCAAAACGACTTATAATATAAAACAGAGGGACCTTGTAACAAAATGACCTCCAGAATGCACGTACAGTGCTCCTTTCCAGAACACGCTGTACCCTTGACGTGGCCGCGCGAAAACATACTCCCATGATTTCATGTCCTCCACCGTCGTCGCCGCCGCCGCCTCGCCTTCTTCTTCCCGGACGAACACCCTCTCCTCCCACCGCCCCGTCTCCGACGAGAACACCTCCACCTTGTACGGCGACGGCGGCCACTCCATCGACAGATAGGCGGCGGCGGCCTCATCGCCGTCGACGGCATCCTCCGCCGCCTTCTCCGGCAAGGCGGGGATCAAGAGCACCTCGTAGTGCGGCGACACGGCCGGATCGAACGCGAGGTACTTGCCGCCGGCGCACGCGGCGGCGGGCTCGCGCTCCGGCGGCGGCTGCGGCAGCGTCGCCCACCGCCGCGTCGCCGGGTTGCAGACGAAGAGGCGGCTGCCCCAGTAGACGTCGCAGAGGAGGAGGCCGTCGCGGTGGTCCACGACGGCCCACCATGCGCGGTCGCCGGCGGGCACGGAGGCGGTGAGGTCGCCGTCGACCCTGCCGCCGCCGCACGACGCCGGCACCGAAGACGACGACGAGGAGGAGGGGCGGCGGAGGGAGAGGAGGTGCGGGCGGCGGTGGCCGACGTAGTTGAAGAGGACGCCGTCCACCGAGCGCGGCAGGAGGCGCCGGAGCAGCAGCCCGCGGCTGTCGACGAGCTCGCGCCATGGCTTGCAGACGCACCTCGCGACGGCGAGGCTCTTGGGCGGCAGGCGGCCGAGGATCTCGGCGAAGGCGTCGTCCGGCACCGGCAGCGCCATTGGTGGGGACGGAGGAGAGGAGATCGACGTCGACGATGTGCCCTAGCTTGCCGGAGTTCGTTATCGGCTTATCGCTAACCGCAAATCGACGCGTTCTTGTAGGCAATAGATTGTTGCTAATGGGCCATGGCCCAGTAGCAATTGATGTCCATAAAGCCCACAGCCCAAACCCATGCAGATACGATTCGTCAAGTCTAATTGTCTACACATTCTAACTGTTCGGGTACTCACGCCCGAAGAATTACTATCGAAGCCACACAAATGGTATATTTCTTAGATAATGGAATAGAGCATCCCGGTCTTTCCTGAAAAAAATTTGAAAATATATCTCTTTTTTTCATAATTTGCGTTTATATACCTGCATGGCGGAGATTTGCACAAATATACCTAATCCGCGGGTTGGAGATGCGGGAGCGACGATGGATCGATGGACATCCCGGTTGCGCGGGATGAATATGCGGGATCGAAGCGGTCCCGCATATCGGGCATGCGGCATTGGCACGATCCCGCAGGTCCATAAAGCGGCAGCGCGGTAGATTGCGGGACCAGCCGGCGCCGGCTCGGTCACGCAGAACGGGCGAGCGGCACCGGCCCGGTCCCGCAAAATGGCTGCGTGGGACGGACCTCGGTTCCGCACGGCTCGGTACCACACATCTGATCTGCGTGATCGCTCTCCTAATCTAAATATAATATCGAATCACTCCAAAATTTGAGACACACAGTTAAAACTCGTAATCTAAATTTTACGTCAAATCATGTAACGCTCCGCTTTTCGTGAGTCGTTAAAAACTAATTCGGCAAAAATCCTAATTGCGAAAATTTTCGTTCTTTGTGTGCGAGTCTAAGTTGTGCCAAGGATCTCAATTTAATCCCGTTGTTCCCTCTCATCGAAATCAAAATCCTCCACCACGAAAATTCCTCTTCCGATTCGAGTCTCTGAAATCAAATTCCGAAAGTCAATCCCTTCCCTTGAATCCTCGCCAAATACATTTCCGAATCCCAAAAATATCCAAACTCCCGTTTTGTTTCCTTCTTTGACTCCTTGAACCCTTGTGTACAAAGTATCAAATTTAGATTCAAAACCCAAACTCCAAATCTCTCCAAATCAAAATCATTCAGAAAAAGTCTATTTTACCTCCCTCTGCCTCGGTGGGCTGACTCTTCTTCCCCGGCCCATCTCCTCTCAGCCCGCTTCTCCACCTCCCCGCACGTGCGCTGCATGTGCCGAGAGAGAGAGGCATCGCCTCTCTTCTTCCTCTCTCTTTCCTCGCTATCTCTCTCTGCTTCCTTTCTCCCTCTCCTCGGCGCCGATTTCCCCGCCGCCGCCGTTCGAAATCCGGCCGCACCCCCGCGTCGCGCGCGCGCTCGCTCGCGAGGAGGTCGACCGGCCGGTCGCTGCCGCTGTCAGCCCTGCCGCGCCTGCGCCGCGCAGCCGGCCGGCCCCGCTGCCCTGCCGCGCTGCACCACACAGCTGCCCGGCCCCGCGCGCGTGCCTGAGCCGCTCCACGCGCGTCCTGCCAAAACCCGGAGGCCGAGCTCTCCCTCTCCCTCCTACTCCCTTCCTGAATCGGCTTGGAGCGAGCCTCTCTTTTTCCCCCTTCTTTTTCCCTTTCCCCGACCACCATCGGCGTCACCGCCTGCCACCGCCTGGACCACGGGCGCGACCGCCAGCTCGCCGCCCCCACCTTGACCCAGCGCCAGCTCGCCCCGCGCTAGCCGGCGCTGCTCCTCCCGCTCCCGCGGTTCAATTTCCCCGCACGATCCACCGCCTTCGCCGCCCAATGCATCCACGCCGTCGCCGCTTTCGCATCGCCCACGAAACCGCCGTTGCCGCCAGCCGAGCGCTTGACCGCCAAGGTCGGTTCTCCCCTCCCAAACCGACATCACCTCACCCCGCGCCTATAAAACCCGAAGCCGAGCTCCCCTTCCCATCTCAATCCCTCCCGCTTCACACTCCTACTCCACCGCGCCATTGTCGCCCTTCCTCTGCTCTCGCCGTCGCCGTCCGCCGCCGAGCACCGGGAAGACCGGTGCGTGCGAGGACGCGTGACGCGGGACTCCGGGCACCCATCTTCCTCCCCTTCCCCGGCCCGAGGCCGGAGAGCTCGCTCCCGCGCTGTCGGCCGCTCGTCACAGCGCCCGTCTCGGCTCGGTAGTGCCTCCCTCCGTTCTCCCTTCCCGTTTGCCCCCTCCCTCCTTTAGCTCGCGCGGTAGCTCGGTAGTCCTCCCGAACGCGCGTGGACAAAGCCCCTAGCCTCGCCACCACCCGCCATAGGCTTGCCACCGTCGCCGCTCGCTCCCGGAGGCCGCCGCTCGTCGCCAGATCTCCACGGCGTCGCTCTGCCCCATCCGACGCCGGAGATGAACTCCTTGAACCCCGGAGATACTCCCACCGCCTTGAATTGATCCCTCCTCGACCGCCGCCGTTTTCCCCCTTTGCTCGCCAGCGGTGCGCGTCGCCGCAATCCACCGCCTCCGGCCTCTTTCCGGCGAATCCGAGCCGTCGGCTCGCTTCCTCTCGTCCCTTCCCTCCTCCGGTGCGCTTTCTTTTTCCATTGAGGTAGCGCCTTGCTCCGGTGAACTCGGCCGCCGTCCGCCGTCCATTCGGCCGCGCCCCCTTCTTCCTCCTCCCGCCGGCCCACGTGGCTGCCACGTAGGCGCCACGTCGGCGCCACCTCGGCTTTGACCGAGCCGAGCCGGTCAGCCGCCTCCTTCCTTCCCCCCCCCTCGCACGCACGGTCCACGGTGCACCAACCGGCTGCGCGTGGGCCCGCGCATCCTTGGTCCATCCGGTGCTCGCGCGTGAACCGCGCTCACCCGAAACCCTTGCGCCGCACCTCGCGTGCGCCCATCCCTCCGTGAACCATGTCGCAGACATGCGGGCCCCACCCGGGACCTCGCATGGTGGGTTCGGTCCACCCGGACCGCCCCCTCTCCCTTCCGCGCGCCCCTAATGGGCCGCCTCCTTGCGCCCGCGCCGGCCCAATGGCTCGGCCGAGCCTCCTTCAACCCATTGGGCCGCGCCTCACGCTCGGCCTAAAAGTCCATATTTCCTCCCTCCGTCCAAGTCAGTGTCCATCTCTCATGAGCTACAAGTCCAAATTTGCTCCCTCTCAATTTTATTCTCTCTCACCTTCTTGTTGACCCCACTTGTCAATGAGTCAAAGATATTCTTGAGAATGTCTTTTCCAATATTCCACAAATATTTCTCTTTTCTATAAATTCAATAAATCATTTTCCCCTCTTTCAGAAATCAATTCCTTATTCCAAAATTCCATGAATCATTTTCCTTGGTCAGCGACTGTCAATAATATTCTTGAGAATATTATTTCCATAAATTCCGACAAAACATTTCCTTGTCCAGAAAATCCACTTAGACCTCCAAAATTCATATCCCTCGATCCGTAGCTCCGATCGCCTCCGTTCCACTTCCAGTAATTCCGTAAAATTGAGATCTATTTAATGGCACTATTAATTAGTCTAAATAGGATCCTTCTTTGGTCTTTTGTTTAGGTTTTCGATTGTTTGCGTATAGTTGCGGTTGCGGATTTTCGTCGATCGCGGGTTTTCTCGAAGATTCGTGAAGCTTCGTGAAGGCCTTGAGCAAGGCAAGTCACGCTTTGACCAATTGCTCCTATAATTGGAAAATCATTATTATTTTGTTTGCAACTTGCATTATTAGAATCACACACTTAACTTGCTTGGCCTCGGTTTGCGTGCCAAACCGACGGACCTACCTAGTAGTCGCTCTAATTTCCATAGGTCGTACTACCCTGATTTCCTTGTCGCTCCACCCTTGTGGTACCTCGGTATTCGTGCTCTCTGAGCGCGTATACCAAATATCCCACATACACCGTTGTTTGTCGAAGACTTGGGAAATGGGTTTGTGAAGCCTTCAAAACCTGACATGTGGTGTCGGTGTGTTTGAAAATAAAATAAATTGTGAAAACTCACGATGCGGGGGGTTGTGCCTATGTGGCACTGTCCCGTATTCGCATATAAGGACCGATTCCTGTGGGAAACTCATCGAACATAATCAAAGTGCAACCACAAGGTGGAATGGGACACCTTGGTTAAGTAACTAGTCGGTTCAGGGAAACCTCGCATGCCAATAGTTGGGAACGCCGGGGCGGGGTCGGACAAACCGGGTTCCTGGTAAGGCAAGAACGAGAAGCTTGCTCACTTACCGATCAAGGTGGTTGGAGTTGATTTGTGAACGCCTAAAATGGCCTATGTTTATGTGAGGATTTGATCCTTCTATGTGGCATGAGGTAACCCTGGGTCGGCTTGGGAAAGGCTTTGTCGCGAACCTCTGACACCGGCCAGTGTCTGGAGTAAGTTCGTGTCTTGTAGGTAAAGTGTACCCCTCTGCAGAGGTTAACTAACTGTTCGAACAGCCGTGCCCACGGTCATGGGCGGATGTGAGGTGGTTCCCGTTGCGTAGATTTGTTTGCCTGTGCTTTGTGAAAAGTTGTTGTGGTGTGGGAATCGTAACCAGAATCAGCCTATGTGGCAGATGGATGACCTGAGTGGTCAGAAACGAATCTGTGTGATTCGGGATGTTTGTGGGCATCATAGACTAGGCTTCCCGAGTGGAGGCGGATTGCTTTGCTGCTGGGCAGCTGGACTCTGGGAGTCCGAGAAAATGAAAAAGGCTCTGGGAGCCGATTAATCAAGTGGAATGGCTCTGGGAGCCGAGAAGTAATGATCTGACCCGGGAGGTCGGTACATTACTAAATGAGCTGTTGAAAAACATCTCTTAAAGTCGAATCGAGATGCAAGTCTCTTTTCGGCCCAAACTTAGAAAGAAATAAATCACTTAGTGATTTCAAAAATGTCTTCAAATAAAAGATTTGCAAAACAACCTTGCCTCTCTTCCAAGCTTGCATTAAACACCTAAGTTCCCGTGATTAGGGTTTCGTCCTGGTTCCCAGCCGTCGCCTGTGGTGTTGGGTGTTAGTTCGTTGGTTCCGCTGCTGCTGCTGTTGTTGGTGTTTCCTCGTCCGTGTCGTCGGTTGCATTCTCGGGTTGTTCTGAGCTGCAACCTAAGTTAAGGTAAATAAGTCCTCTATCTATTTTAAGGATTT